TAGTATGTGTGTGTGTATGTGTATTATGTGCGTGTGTGCGTGTGTGTGTGTGTATAACTAAAATTATCAATACAAACATGTAATAAAATAATTAATTTTCATATACATATACGCATACATACAGTATAACTACTCATTATACATTAATGAGAATGCCTTTGTAATCGAATCTGGTCACTGCGGCATAATTGTCAAACACTCTACCACTACACCATCAGTGTAAAGAAAAGGGGTAAGTAAACTTACGACAGTTAATTTCGTCACTGCTGTCCGAACAGTCGTAATAACCGTCGCAGATCCAGTAGGCCGGGATGCACCTATTTTCCTGTATGCATTTGAACTGCCCTGGATGGCATACGTACGTTGTTGCTGTTGGTGTTGTTGTTGTTATTGTTGTTGTTGATGTTGTTGTTGATGTTGTTGATGATGTTGTTGTTGATGTTGTTGTTGATGTTGATGTTGGTGTTGGTGTTGATGTTGGTGTTGATGTTGTTGTTGTTGGTGGTGTTGTTGTTTTTGGTAGTGGAGTTGTTGTTGATGTTGTCGATGATGTTGTTGTTGCGGTTGTTGTTGAAGTTGGAGTATGTAATATTGTTGCAGATGTTGTTAATATTGTTGTAGATGTTGTTGTAGATGTTGATAATGATAAAAAAGAGAAGAAAAATGAAGAAAATTTCGTTGTAGTTGTTGTTGTTGGAATTGTCATGGGTGATGAAGCAGGTGTTTGAGTCAGTAAAAATATTGTTGTTGATGTTGTCATTGGTGTTAGTGACGTTGTTGTTGTTGTTGTAGAAAATGCTGTTGATGATGATGATGTAGATGTTGATGCTGGTGATGATGATGATGTGTTTGATGATGTTGATGATGATGACGATGTAGATGATGATAATGTTGCTCCAGAAATTTCAATAATTTTTGTTGCTATAGACAAAGTTCTTGATGATGGTATCGCTAATGTAGTAGTGGTAGTAGTAGTAGCAGCAGCAACAGTAGTAGTAGTAGAAGAAGTAGTAGTAATAGTAATATAAGTAAAAGCAGTAGTAGTAATTGTCGATGACGTTATTGTTGTTGTTGTTGTACTTGTGAATAATGGAGAAAAATTTGTAATAGGTTGTTGTTGTTGTTGTTGTTGTTGTATTGTCGCATAATTTGTTGCGTACATTTGTGAGCTTACCGTTGCCAACAGAACAAACACTGTAGTAGAAATAATAATAATAATAATAAAAATAATAAAAATAAGAAGAAGAAGAAGAAAAAGAAGAAGAAGAATGATTAGCATTTATATATGTATAACCTGATTTAGTTGTCGCTATTGTTGTTGTTATTGTTGTTGTTGTTGTTGTTGTTGTTGTTGTTTCGACGTCAAAGGCCGTTGTAGGTCGAGCTAGAATACATAAAACATTTTTTTGAAACTGTAAACATTCATTCGTTCGGTCGTTTGTTTATTCGTTCGTTCGTTCGTTCATTCGTTCGTTCGTTCATTCATTCATTCATTCATTCATTCACTCACTCACTCACTCACTCACTCACTCACTCACTCATTCATTCATTCATTCACTCATTCATTTATTCATTCATTCACTCATTCATATACTAACGCCCTTCAACGAATACGCTGATCTCACAGATGACCATTGTATCAACGGAAGCACCATCGAACTTCCTCAACAGTACATACCTAAAAATTGAAGTATATACGCCAAATAATTAATGGTAATAATAATAATAATTATTATTATTATAATATTAATTATATCTAGTTATATTTAGGGTTATATATAACCCAACCTTCCAATGCTATTGTTTGGGCATATAATCCAGGTATTTGTGCCCGCGGCTAGGTGACCTGTAGTTTTATTATTATTATTATCAATGTTTGATTGTTGTTATTGTTATTATTATTATTATTATTAGTATTATTATTATTATTATTACTGTATTTATTATCAGTGTGTGTGTGTGTTAGAATGATGAGTTGAAGAAAGAGAGAGAGAGAGAGAGAGAGAGAGAGAGAGAGAGAGAGAGAGAGAGTGATATATAGGCAGGAAGAGAGTGACTGGCACAAAGACGCAGAGAAAAAGTATGAATAAGTGTGATTGTATGATTGTATGCATGTGTTAGTATCTGTGTGTGTGTGTGTGTGTGCGTGCGTGCGTGCGTGCGTAATACTCAACCGTTATTTGAGAACTGGATATGGCATATCTTGCTGCTGGCACTGTCGAACTGCGCTAGACCATCAGCGTTTATCGATATGTAGAAATTCGACAGCAATTTTGCCGCTAAATTTTCAAATAAAAATAAAATAGTAATTAAATTATTGAACACACACACACAAACAAACAAAGACACAAACAAACAAAGACACAAACAAACACCACAAACAGAGAAAACAAACAAAAACAAACAAACCTACCTTGTTGATCATCAGTATTGTAAATATTAATGTAGTGAACATTATAAGCTGCGCCGAGATCCAACAGGACCCAAGCGGGCTGGTTTGTGGGGTAGCTAGGGCCGACCTTCGTGCAGGTTGTAGGGTCACCATCTATCAAATTGTTGGGCCCGTTTCTGTAGAAATCAGTGAAAGTACTTTGGGTGGCATACGTCGGAATTACTTGATCTGTGAAGTGGTAATTAGAGTGAAGTGCACGTATGTTTGATTGTATGTGTATGTGTGTGTGTGTATGTATGCATGTCTGTATGGCTTTGTTTGTTGCATGTGTATATATATATATGTGTGTGTGTGTATGTATGTGTGTATCTGTTGGTTTTATGTTTGTATGTGTGTGCATGTATGTATGTATCTGTTTGTTGCATGTCAGCCTCGGTATGTAAGGAAAATTTTTTTTATTTGACAGTGTTTAATTTGTGTAAAATTTGAATGGTATGTGCCGCTTGTATACAATCTTGAAGACGTTTGAGAAAATAAAACAATCAATTAATTATCTAATTAGTTAATTAATTAAATCAGGGTTGTTAATATCGAAGTATTGCCACCGGCGGTATTTGGCTGGCGAAAGTTATCCAGTATTGGATTTGGTATAAGCGATACCTTTTGATAGCAGGTATCGAACTTGATACCTTATTGAACATGAAAATATATAAAAATCAATCGATACAAGTGGTTTTGAACGTTGATTGGATATATCTTTAAAAACAATCCTTTCATTTTTTTAAGTTGAACGCCTTTTTTGGTGGTGAATTAGAAATATAAATCAAAGTGTTTTTTTTCTTTTTCCTGGTTTGTCAACGCTATTTTTTCTCATCTTGAAACGTTCTCGTCTTATTTTAGTGATTTAAAACTAGTTAAAGTGCTTCAAAAAGCTGTTTAATTTAATCTTAGCAATTTTGTTAACTTCAGGAAGACAGTTGATTTACCAGATAAAATAAAAACATTTGCATTATCATTTTCGCCTAAATGATTTTATGAATTAAAAAAAATTGACAAAAAATTGCTGCTTTGATTCCAAAATGATTAGGGATCTTCGTTCTTCTACTGACTCCGGGCCCCCACACCTCTTCAAAATTCGGCCCTGGACATTCATGTTAACTCCCTTCAAATTTGATGACTATTCGAGCAATTTAACGTCACGCAATCTGTTTTAGGCTGTTCTTAAACTAGCGATCGCACCGCTATGGACAAAACAATAGTTACGTTATAGTGAGCAACATTTGAAAAATACGAAAGGAACTGGGTTCCAGGGGCAATAATTTGAAAAATGAATTTCGGTATTGGCGATACATTCGTTGAGAACTGTTAACAACCCAGCTGATTAATTGTAATTGATGAGAGGCAAATAGCAATAGCGCACATGTTTCGTATGTGCCACTTGTTAGCAACGCCATCACGAAGACTGCAACTAGCAAGAAATCCATCTTCATGTAACGTAAGTGATGATCCGTTACTCGCTACTGCTCCGCTATCCTATTTGGAATTAAAAATTTAACACACACACAAAAAAAATGTGTTTAAAAGTCTGGAAATAAACTTTTAAAATAATTAAAAAAAAAATATGAGATTAAACTTTTAAAATAATTATAAAAAAATTGCTGTTTTATATTTAAGACTTCACAACTA